GACAAGATATAGACTTATTAAAGGAATGGTCGAATGAGTGGTTGATGAAATTCAACCAGCAAAAATGTAAAGTTATGATAATAGGAAAAAGCCAGCACAAAGTTTTAATAATAATAACACAGCTTTAGTCTTCACAAGCATGGAAAAGGATTTAGGAGTGTACATTTCAGATGATTTGGAATGGAAACATCATGTAAATAAAGCAGTAAATAAAGCAAATCAAAAGCTAAGTCAGATCAAACACACTTTTAAATATTTAGACGAAAAAACAATGAAACTCTTGTTTATAGTCTTAGTACGTCCACATTTGGAATACGCAGCTCCTATCTGGAATCCTTATCGTCAGTATGATAAAGATAAACTAGAGTGTGTCCAACAAAGAGCTTCTAGAATTAAAATTTTGAAAGGATACAGTTATGAAGAGAGGCTAAAGAAGTTGGATTTACTATCGTTGGAGAAAAAAAGAAAAAGGGGTGATTTTATACAAATGTTCAATTATTTGAAAGGGTGCGATATTATAAATATTTACACGAAACCCGAAATGCTAGATAACGGATATAAAACTAGAGGTCACAATAAAAAACTGAGAAGGCAATATACAGGAAATATAAAACGACATAATTTTTTCACAAATAGAGTAGTAAACGACTGGAACAATCTTGAACAAGAAACAATAGACGCAGTCAGTATCAACCAGTTCAAAAAAAAATGGATGAATATTTTAAATTGGGTGAACATTTAAAAAAAACTTTTATTATGTTTGTATGTTAGTGTGTTACAGCTGTTAAAGTTACAAACTCTACGTAGTTTGGACTCATCACTCTTTAAGTGTACAGCACTATTATATTATATTATAATAGTTATTTATATCTTCAATATTCATATATTTACTTTATTATATATTTTCATATATAATTATGTAATTATATATTTTCATATATAATCATGTAATTATATATTTTCATATATAATCATATAATAGTTATGTATATCTTCAATATACATATATTTATTTGAAAATTGTATAATAAAATATAATTTGGGGGGGGGGGGGCGCAAGAGTTAAATTTTTTATAAAATTTGTTTTATCATTAACTAATAATAAACGTTTTATTTGAAATAGGTTGTACTCAAAAAAACAAAAAACAAAAAAGTCTGAGAAGAGAAAGTAAAGCGTATCAACGAATCCAAGGAGGCTGTTGTTTCTCCTGAAGTACACAATCAATGAGCTTTTAATAAACCTGCTGGGAACAATCGGAAATATTCTAAGATGCATCCCAGGTAGAACAAATAATTTTTTTTATATATATAAATATACTATAAAAATCTCCCAGGTAGAACAAATAGTTTTTTTTATATATATAAATATACTATAAAACAATGATAAAATTTAAATATGGTCTATTTTATGCAATACATGTTTAGTCTAATATCCCCTTCCCCCTTCCTCTTTCCTAACTGTTTAAAAAGTGACACAATGAAGCAGAAATTTATGTAAGAACAAAAAAAACATAATAATAAATACTTGTCTATTTTTATTTTAGACCAATAAGATTTCAATCTACTAAGTTGATAGCAGCCTGTCCTCAGAAGCATGAGAACAGGAATCTGATATGCAAATATAGTTTCTGCAAAAATTCTTAACAAAGATATGTTGCATCCACGGTAATAGAACTGGAATTCTTGCAATGGTAACTTCTCTAAGATACAAAATGAGTTTTTAGTGGAAATTGATCTGTCTTGTAGAAGACCTTTTAGGCAAAGACAAGGGGTAAACAGGTTCTATCTGTTGACCAGCCTTGCACTCCTTCTTCATATATTAGGCTGGTGCATATGTATTTTTAATACATTGTTTCCAGTTTTGGATGTTGAACGCTGGATCTTTTTGACTCAATGCATGGGTTTTGCTTGTCTCAGTTTTTTTGACAAGGCAACTCATACTATTATTTACCATCTACTAAAATTCATTCTCATGTTACTCGTCATTTAACTAAGTCTTATCCTTTTTCTGTGACTGTTCCAAAGTGCTCCAAAAACTGTTATTCGTAGTTTTTTCCTCGAACACCAGTTCTTTGGAATTCGCTTTCTTCATCTTGCTTTCCTGATTCATATAATTTGCAATCTTTTAAGTTGTCTATCAATCGTTATCTTGCTTTACAAACTTCATCTTTTCTCTTCTTTTAACTTAAAATTTCAAAATAATTTATCTTCATTTCTTTATTTAAAATAAAATAAATTTAAACAAATTCTAAAAAAAAATTTATTTTAATTTTTTATCATTATTAACTTCCTTTAGTTTTCTTTTTTTTTTTTTCTTACTATTTCTATATAAAATTTATTGTTTTTGTCATTAATATTTATTACTTTCATTACTGTTGTTTTTATTATTACTATTAATATTACAGTTGTTATAAATACTATTATTTTTGCTGTTACTTTTGCTCTATTAATGAATAAAGTTTTTATCATTATTATTTTTTAAATTAATATTATTAATATAATTATTTTGTGTCATTCCTTTGATCAGGATTTTGCATGAGTGACTCCTTCCTGAATCTATTATTAATATTTCTTCTTGATAATTATGTTTTGATTTTATAATTTATAATATTAGAGATATTCTTATTCTTATTATTTTTGCTGTTATTGTTATTGTTATTATTATTGTTATTGTTATCATTATTGTTATTATTATTAACATATTATTATTATTATATGATTGTAAATTTTGAGGAAAATAAATATCTTGTTCTGTTCTTGTTCTTTTTCTTCCAGTAACTTCCAACTCTTATAGTGGTTGCTTGCAGCCTTGTTAGAAGCGAAGATGTAAAAAAAAAAAAAAAAAAAAAAATACTCTTTGATATTTCGTTGGCAATTTTTGAAAAAAAACAAAAATCAGGATTGTTTTCATTCTGAGAATGCCAAAAAAGAGAATATTTAGTCCAATGAACTTGAGGTTTCTTTTTGTTAATCTGAAAATGATTTTAAATTGGAACTTAGTTTAGATACTTCAGATGATAAAGATTTACTTAATAGATTCAGTCATTCTACTAAACCTAACTTAATAATAAGTATAAGTGCTGAAGATCTGGTTGACTGTACTGCTGCAGTTTCCGCCCACAAACTTCATTAGTAGCTGCTATTTGCAATAAGGCTATTTAAATCTAGAAGATATTAATTTATCAAGAAGTACAGTCTATAGATAGAGATTCAAGAAATTTGAGATATTAGGTTGAGATATTAGGAGATAAGCTCAGGCAAGAAATTTTAACTACTCTGAATGGAAAAATATGTGTTCATTTTGATGGAAAGAGAATGAAACAGATTGAAGAAGATCTAAAAATAACTGTTTCTGTAGAAAGAATAGCGGTCAATGTAATATCCTCTGATTTGTATGACACAGATAGTATACTGTTAGGTGTTTTTTAAACATCAAGTTCCTAAGGTAGTAACCAGGCTGAAGCAATTTTGAATTTGCTAAAATACTTTGACATTGTAGATCAAATATTTACTGTTTGCTGTGACACTACCGCATCTAATACTGGAATACACTCTGGAGCTGTGGTTATCTTTGGCTTCATTCCTAATATTGCACTTATATAGTTTTTCTGTAGAAGACATATGCTATAAATACACAAGAAGACAAAGGGCTCAAGTAAAGGGTTGAATGCCCTCAAACTTCAGAAGAATTTGGTGTTTAGTCACCCCTTTATGAAATTGCTAAGAAAGTTCTGGAGTTTGGAAAATAGTCTTGTCTCAAAAACTTTTGTGAGGAGTGATTGCAGGAAACTTGCGAACTTTTTGTTTTCTATTTGGAAGGAGAAGTACTAGGACTTTGTTTTCATCAACCTGGAGCCCTCCATAAAGCTTGGTACAGTATATTGAAAAAATAAATCGTAAACATAATTGATAACATATAAATAAAAAAATATAATAAATAAATATTTATGGGGACAAAATCTTACACTTTAGGTTTATAGCTGATGCTTTATACATTCTTACCCTGAGAATAGCGGATAAAATCGGCGCGATTATAAGCAAAGTGGAATTTTGGTCAGGATTTTGGAGGGGGATATAGATCTGACAATATGCAACAAAAATTAATGTTGATAGCCAGGGACAATAGAAAAAGCTTGAAAAATATCTTTCCTAGTCCTAGTTTAAAAATTTATGATTTATTATTCCTGAAATACATTTTTTACACATTTTTGTATTTTTATTTAAATTTCTGTTTTTAACAATAACAACAAAAAGAGTTTTACATATTGCTGAAATTGTGGTCTGCAAATGTTTTTTTATGTATACTTTCAAACAGAGGACACTAGAGAATGGGAAAAAATTGCGTGTACATAGAAACTTTAAAAAAAGTGTCAGTTTGGGACACCCTTTGGTCACTATGAACTAAAACCAACTCATACTGGATTATACTGAAACTCCGAGTAGAGCCCCGGTTTTATGCTGAAATTCAAATTTTGTCACTATTCTTTTAAATGCGTTTAATAAAATTAAAATAATTTTTAAATACACATTCAAAACATTTCAAAAAGTACTTAATATGTTCATAATTAAATTTGTGTAATTTATTTTGTAAATTTTTGTAATTCATAATTAATGTTTGGGCATAAATTGATTTATGGGTATTTGTATGGATTCGTTTTGTATGGATAGAGCATGCCAATATGTTAGATTAAAAAAAAAAAAAAAAAAAAAGATTTTTGGGCGTTCTCGAGAAAATTTAGAAACTTGAATTTGCACGTCCTGTACGTCCCTTAGGCGTATTTTTGTCTATAAGTTATGTAATCCGATTGTTTCCACCTCCACCCCTTAAATAAATAATATCATTCTTTTTTCACGACAAACTCATGTTAATTATGTTTATCTGAATAAGTCATTTAACTCTATTCGTTTTAAATTAAAATTAATTAAATTCATTTTGTATTTAAAAGGAGATAAAAACCTTTTTCGCAATGCATGCCGGGAATATTTTTTAAATAACACTTTTAAAGCTAACTTAATATTTGCTTAATAAAGATGCCGCCTGTTGCTGCTACTGTTAACACAGGAATGAATGTTCAAGTTGAAAGTATAAAAAAAGTTAACGAGCAACTTCGCAGAGAATCTCGAATTCAGCGACATAAATTATCAGAATGTGCAAAAGAGTAAGTATTTAATGTATTTTGTTTCTTCTTATTTTGATATGTCTATTTTGGCAAAACTAAAGTAAATAAAAAACTATACATGTTTTAACTTGTTGGTTTATTGAATTTTATGTTTTGACTAATAATATGATTTAACAAATAGTATTCAATAAAATAAAGTATTTAGTGTTTAATTTACCAATAAATACGTAAACAGTATTTTTTAAAAATAAAAATTTCTTCTATATATATATATATATATATATATATATATATATATATATATATATATATATATATATATATATATATATATATATATATATATATATATATAAAATATATATATATATATATATATATATATGTAATATATGTATATATATATATATATATATATAAGAAGTTTTATATATATATATGTATACATATATATATATATATATATATATATACATATATATATATATATATATATATATATATATATATATATATATATATATATATATATATATATATATATATATATATATATATATATATATATATATATATATATATATAGATATATATATAAATATCTATATATATATGTGTGTATATATATGTATATATATATATATATATATATATATATATATATATATATATATATATATATATATATATATATATATACACACACATATATGCATATATTTGCATATGACTGTTTCAGAGTGAACTTTATGGCTTCTTGTTTTTTTTAGTTAGGGGGTGTTACTAAAACATTTATATTTTTTGAAATATTTGAAATAATTTTGTTTTGTAAAAAAAATAAAAGAAACAATAAAATTTTTCACCATATGACATTTAATACAATGTAAAAAAACTTCTTTTAGTTAAGAAAAAGCGTAACTAATGATGAACTTAGCTAAATTTTAGTAATTTGTTGTTACTTTTTATCAAAAAAAAATCAGAAAAATATATTTCTGATTACTATCAAATACATTTGTTGTTTGACTATTATTAAAACAAAAAAAGCTTACTTAATTGTGTTAAATAAAAAAAGTTTTTAGAGAAGTCTGCAAGCAAACCACATTTTTTGCAAAATTATGAAAAATGTTGTTTAAAGGGGGATTAGCTGTTAAATAAGTACGTTTTCAAATATAAAAATAATAAACTAGGTTGATAAATTCAATGCATTACAAAATAAAGCCAGATTTTGATTTTGAAACATTTAGTCTTAACATTTTAAGCTAAAGCCTTTAAAAAGGTTAAGCAATTTCTTTCTTTCTATGCATACAGTTTTAATAATATGGTGTTAATTTGTTGATAAATAAAGACTCACCAAGTCTAATAATATAATTCATGACCAAAACTGCGTTAAAGTTTTGAATTAACCTCGCTTTTGGTAATAGAATTATTTTATGGCACTTGAATCAATCTCTTCTCACAAAAAATAAAACTTTTGTTTGATAATGTGTTTTTATTCTCATAAGAAACTGTTTTATAATAACTTGATCTACTGATAAGTTCTTTAAGTATAAAACCATCTTTGTACACCCAGTTGATAATAGATTCATGCTCCATTCTAAACCAGGAGATTAGTTTTTGTTCAACAGACTAACAATAGTGACAATAACTTTTACAAATTCTTTATTTAAACTGTATCTTTACACTAACTTGTTGTTTATGAAACATAAATTCTATTCTTTTACCAAAGAGAAGGTATGTTGAGCAGAGGTACTGCAGAGGTAGAACTAACTTCTGATGATAATAATCGAATGGGCATCTAATATTCAAATTAAATGTTACAAATAATAAAAGACAATATATTTTTTAAATTAACTACACAAACTAATATTTTATATCATAGCCAACAAACATACCAGTTGCTCTGCTCATAAGTTAAAGTAGTAAGCTATATTTTTACACCCGTTTGCCGCAAGACTCATATACCATTCTTTAACATGGATGGTATTGCACTAGTATAATTAACGTGTGAAGATAAGAATGAAATGGGCACCTATCTAATATATAAAATAAATATAATAAATATTTTAAAGTAACATTATGCAAACATGATAAAACAAAATTTAATTTTCTTATTACTATTTAAGGATCTTATATATTTCATTTTGGATATAAAAACCTTTTTTTTAATTTTTTAATTATTTAGACTAAATTTTATGACCACAAACAAGACAAAGGCCTTGTCTATAAAATGAATTTTCACCACGCTCAGAACACACAACACTTTTTTACCTTAGAGGCTTGAAGCTTCCTATCAGTTTTGCTGTGCAATTCAAAGCATTTAAAAACAAGATGCAGCTTCTGTTCCCGATTTCTTACTGAATGCAACTGTCTTAATTCCTTATTTACACTATTATACAAGCACTCTCCCTCCTTTTTACTCAGCAACCCAATAGTTTTATGCAATTTTACAAATAGTGGCACATTAAAAATGAGTTCATGCATTTTTCGCGTGATAGTAAATAAATTTACATATTGATGAAGCTCATTAATTTCAGCATCAGAAAGAAATTTTTGCCTAAAAAGAATAGGTTGCAACTTATTAAAAACACTTAACACACATACAAATCTATTTTTAATAGCTTCATCATCAATAACACTACGATGTTTATAGTGGTTTCTTAAGACTATTTTGCAATGGCTACTTACAAACACATTACCATGGTACACTTGTTGCTCAACCTTCATATCTTCAAGGGACTTATTAAGAGACCTCTCATGAGTCCCTATTTTACTTTTGGATATTTTTTCTAGGTCCTAACACTCCATCTGCAATTTAATATAATCAACGTCTAAAACTTCGCGTTGTGCGCATATAAAAGAAATTTTTTCAGAAATATAAAGGTCAAGACATTCTATATCTTCACCCTGACACGCTAAACACTCATACATTTCTATGTCACACAATACACTCTTTTCTGAATCACCAATAATTTCACTAAGTTGATGAAACCATTTTTGGCACGTCCCACATTGCACCCAATCAATGTTACAATCATATTTAGTAAATAAACACCTGATACTAGCACACATTTCATGCTGTTAACAAGTTGTTTTTTTTATTGGAGGAGTTTAGGGATATGCTTTCTAATTTAGAAAAATTGTTATTAAAAGCTAACCATCGCGACTGTAGATTTGCAGCGTCTACAAATTGATTTCCTAATAACACAAAGTTTCTGCTGTTTTAGAACATTCAATGCTTTTAGCAGCCCACAATTCATTCGTTCTCACATTCTCATTATGCGACAAAGACGAATCAGCTTGACAATCTAAAGTCTTACACTCCTTTAACAATAACTTATACAGTTTTAACACAACTCCTAACATAATATGCAAAACAGGTGGCACTACATTATCTAAAGTTATTATGGGGAAAATTACAGGAGCAATAATTGATTTATGAAATTTACCTAGAACTATTAAGTTTCCACCTTGTCTATCTTCACACAAGTTCTCATTGTAAGCACCTTCTAGAGATTGTATTGCCCTCCTTAAGATGTTACAATTAGCAGGTGTGTGAGGCATAGAAGCATGGTTTCTAAGAGAATTTAATTCAACTAGATCTGTAGAACTAGGAAAGCTAGCAGCTGAACCCTGGTGTCCCAGAACATCATTGATGAAATTAAAATCTCCACCTAAGAACAACCTGACTATTTTGCCTTTTAGCTTAAAATCTGGCCACTGAATTCTTTTAATGTTGTTGGCATAATGCCTGAGAATTAAGGCAATATTTTCACGACAGTCTGAACCCTGATACATACAAAACAAATGAACATCATATACAGACCCTGATGATTTAGAATTGACAACTTCAAAATGGAATTTCATATACTTTCCACCCTTATCCCCAGCAAAAAGGAGCCATACCTCTTCGTCAAAACCAATATCCAAATTAAGGTTGTCGCGTGCGTGAAGACTATTAAAAACCTCTTCAATATAAATTGTCAAATTCTTGACCATCAGTACAGATACTAAACAAGATGATTCATTTGCATATGGATAAAGTAACATGGACTATACAGTGACATGTTCTTTATTGATATGGATTGTCCGCCTTTCTTGGTCTTGTCTTATCTTGTACTCAGAGGCAAGAATCCTTGCACCAAGATTACACAGAATACGTCTTAGCCTACGAAATTCAGCCGTGGGCATCCTTTATTGACTTTGTAGCTCTACAGTATCAGAAACACTTAATTGCCTAAACCTAACTTATTTGCAACATAACAATACTTTTCACAAGACATAATCACAAAACAACATAGACAAATCGCTTCAAAATCTGATCATCATTTTAAAATCTGAACAAGCTAATAATCGAAGGAATATAAAAGCAAGTTTAGATCATCTAGCTGCAGCATGCCTACCTAACTTAGAATAAGGTTTACCATGTCCTTACTTAATGTAAGTATATTTTTTCCCCACTATTGGCCTTTTTACTTATATAGTCTGTGGATTACTTAATTTAAATCCACAGAACAATTCAGAAGAACCAATGTTGTCATAAGAATCTAAATAAGAATCAACAACAACTAAATCCTTTCACAGCTTAAAAAACATTTGCAAATTTGGCAACTATTGTGGTTTATATTACTAATTTTTGCATTATTTTTTTCAAATTTAATTTTTTTGAGCAATCTTATATTTTTAGCACAAGCAGATGCAAATTTACGTTGTGATGTTTTGATTTTTTTTCTTGAAATAAGTTGGAACTGCTCCTCCTGTTTTAGTCTATTACTCAAAGTCTCTACTTAAGAACTTAATGAGTTACAATGTGTGTCAAGAGTCTTGTTTTTAGAATTCAAATCTGTAATTTCAGTTTCCAACTTGAGTACCTGCGTTTTTAATTTATCTATTTGCTCCACATAAGTTTCTTCTTTAGAATTTAATTGTTCAACTTGACTACTCAGTTCCTTATTCTTATTTATAATTGAAAAATAATCTTTATCTGCTGAATGCAAGCTGGAGACAGTTGCATTTTAAAAAATGCTTGGTTTTTTGAAGCTTCAAAATATTTTTTTTTTATAATCTTTTTTTGGCATGCTAACTTAAGGCACATTTCATCGAAATCATTTAAACTAGACAAGTTAAAATCAGTTGGTAAAATAAAGCCCACAAAACTGAATAAATCCCCTCTTAATTTAAAGACTGTCATTAAAATAGAAATGACATTATTAGTGATCTTATCTGCATTAATTATTCTCTTAACAAAAGGAAAGTTACATTTTTCTTCCCAACCGTCACATTTATCTTCCCAACCGTCTTCCCATCCAATGTATACTTTCAAAATTACCCTCTCAGTTGAATACATATTGACATAGTAATAATCATATAAACAAGCAAATAAAATAATGACTGACAAATAGATACACTAGATAAAAGTAGGTTCAACAACTTATCTGATATATATTAATCCAATTAGCCAGAGAGAAAATTCCTCGTAACTTAGTTTATTTTATACTTCCCAAATTTGTCTTGCCGAAACAGTTGTTTCAATAAAAATCGTTAGTAAATAGCTTGGGAAGTAACACAATAAAGTTATGTCATTGCCTAGAAATGTCAACACAAATTTCAGCGTAAAACTAATACGATTTGTTATAAAACATGCCAAGTTTAAAAACATATTCGCTAACATAGCAAGTGGTACATAAAATAATTTTTATATTTTCATCTGCATAAAAAGTCGAAACTTCAATAACTTACCTCACTCATCAAAAAAATTATATTTTACATTTAAAAGAGATAAATTTTAAAGTATAAATGCATTAAAAATTGAGTTATAGTAAAAAAATCACGCGGATGGCGTAGGAATCTGATAGATTAGATATTTGTTGATAAGTGTTCCAAATTTCAACCATCAGCCATGTTGCTATGTTAACAAATCTTGGTTGGCCCAAGACAGGTTTTCCGTAAAAATCGTCAAAAACAGAAAAGTGATCCTAAATCATTTAAAATATTTTAACAATGTTTATTTTATTTTGTTTAATGTAAATATTTATTTTACAAAGAAAGATAGTTCTTTTATATTTTTTTAATTCAAAGATGAAAGCGTTTATAGAAAAAAAAAAACTATTAATTTAAAGTTAGTGAGTTTTTTATTTTTTTTAAAAAAAAAACAAAAATTCTTGCGACGTCAAGCTCGCTTTTATATTGAGTGAAACAGCTGTGATATATATATATATATATATATATATATATATATATATATATATATATATATATATATATATATATATATATATATATATATATATATATATATATATATATATATATATATATATATATACTGTCACATTTTTTTTTTTTTTTTTTTTTTTTTGTACACAGGTTAATTTTGGGGAAAATTAAAACCTATAAGTTAGAGGAACAATCAATTTTGAACCTTGAGTCTTTATTCATAATGGCAGCAAGGACTTCACATTGTTATACCACCAGAAAACAAATAATCAAATTCCTTTAGTTCATTGTTTTCTGTTTTCTGGTGGTGAATATACTAAATGTCATTTATGTATACATAATTGGAAGTACTTTAGCTGATAATGCTGATATAAAGAGAGAGAATAAATGTACACATACATATATTCCTAACTATACACACATATTCCCAACACAAAAACATATATGCCTAGTTAATGTAAAAACACAGTTATTTAAGACATACTTAAATAGTATGTCTTTTGTAAACCTTTACCTTTTGTAAAATCTTGTTACAAGTCATTTGCTAAAATGTTTATTTTGGTTATGATACATATTCAAGTTACAAAAATATGTTTAATGAGCTAGGCCTGCCTACTCTAGATACTTTATTGCTTAACTGCAAACATAGCCCTCAATCAACTTGTCATCAACTTATCCCCTGCGCTAATAACAATGTAACTGTGTATGCATTAGATAGAATTATAAATTAATTATGTTTAATTTAACTTGTACTTGTCTGAAATAATTTAATAGAAATATATATATTTAAAAATAACTTTTTTTTTTTGGGCATGTTTGGTAAATATGTTTTTATAAAATACTTAAGTATAAATATGAATATCAAAGTACTGTTAAGTTTATTTGTTGTAAAAATGACTGTATTTTTGGATTAGTAATTTATTTTTTGTGCTGAGCATAAATTTTATTTTTCAGCAAAAAAGGCTTTTTTCAAAAACAAGTTTAAATTTTAGTATTCACTAAAATATCCTTTTGTCTTAAAAATGTGCATAAGAAGGGTAAATAGAATTTTTATGAGAACTATATACTATTCATTAAACAAATATTTGCTGTTTGACTTCGTTTAACTTATGTTATTTTTTTTTATATGAAAGCATAATTTACTTGTCTTTAGGATTTGATGTTTTGTAGGGGAATCCACTTTTTTTTTTCAACATCTTTACTTAAACAAGGCTGCAAGCAACCACTATCACATCATTCTAGGAGGAGAAGGGTAGTTTACTCATCGAGTACATTACTGTTCGCAAATATAGGAATTTCTAGCTAATTGCGATAATTATTAGCTGAAAAAATTGAGCTTTATCTAAGTTAGTTCACCAGCTAGTGAGATTTTTTTATTTTTACCAGAGTTTTTACTTTCACCAATACATTTAAACTGACAAATATTGTCAATCACTGATAATGGCAGTATTTTTGTAATATTTTAAAGAACAGATGACTTTAATTTGCAAATTTTGTGATCAAGTATGTTCAAGCTTTTTTTCGATACAATAATGAAGAAAACATATTTTGCATTATTAATTTTAAAAACACATTACAATTATAATAGAATTATTTTATATCAAAATTTCAAGTGATTGGAAACTTTTGCCAGGCAGTGTTTGTGTTATATATATATATATATATATATATATATATATATATATATATATATATATATATATATATATATATATATATATATATATATATATATATATATATATATCTGTGTGTGTTCATTTTTTACCCGTATTTGTATACATTTTTCATGTACCTTTTATTTTTTTCTAGCATTATAGCCTTTTGCGAAAAAGAATCTAAAACAGATCCTTTAATAGTAAAAATTCCGGCTTCAGAAAATCCATTTCGTGAACGTGGCCGTGGTTGTTATTTGATTTAATCGTGTATTTCTACATTAATATTTATTATATATGTGAAATAATGCAACAATGACCCAACATTGAATTTGTTTATGCAAGCGATAATTTAATGTAAATATATTGTTTCCTACAAATGAATGTAAATTTAAATGAATGTAATAACATTTTACTTTAATTTCTATAATTATTTGCATTTTACATACTATAATTATTTGCATTTTACATATTATGGTGTCTTTGTGTGTGAGGGTTATAACTATTTATTTTTGTTAAAAATCGTTATTTTACTACTCGCTTATTTATATGATAGTAGGAGAAGAAAATGTTATTTTGGTTATAGTGTATAATAGTGTTTGCGTGTTTTTTTTTTTTTTTAACATTTCGGTAGCTGTCGCATTTTTAACAGATTTTTCAAGAGAAGTAAGCGATCTTTAGCGGGTTTTTTTTTTTTTGGTTTCTTAGCTTTTTAAGTAATTCTGATTAGAAGATCTAACCTTGTCTTCATTTAGGCAAACGAAGCAACGCAGTAAGATCACGTAAAATTTCATAAAAACACTTCCACTAAAATTAGTATTTACTATAAGTGACCAAATGGCAGTTAGACTTTAGGCTCAATAAAGTAAAAAATGATTAGAGTATTTTTGTTTTAATGGAAAAGAAAAAGGCCAACGGAAAAAGTGGTATTTTTTCGAATTTGCTATTTATAGTTGAGTTGATGCGGAAACAACGAACTAGATACGAGAGAAAATATATCGCTAGTTAAGTTGTTCAACCCTAGTTCAAATTTCTTTATAATACTTTTTTAATTATTCTATATTAATATAGTCAAAATAGGCGAAAAAATAGTGGTAGGTTTAAATAATTTGCATAGAGTTGAAAGCGGTACAGATATTTAAAGTCCCCACTGATTCACATCTTCAAAAAAATTATTCAAGGTCAAATGTTTGAAACTTGATTTTTGTGCGATGGCATTTTACTATCTAACGTATGAATTATTTTTCTTTTTAATTTTTTTCGTTAGGAAAATTAGTTTGCATTTGTTGCAGTAGTAAATATATTACTTTCACAAACACAAACAAGGTTTCTTAAATAAGATTGTACTGATCTTATCATTAGAACCTTTTACAAGCGTGTGTATATGAACTACATCAAAAACATGATCAACAAAATAAAACGAAATCAACAATAAAAATTCTAAAGAAAATATAAAATTACAATTAAAAAAATATGACTACATTATCCATTCAGATAATTAAGTTTTTCAGTTTACATATGAAAATGGGAAAAGTAAAATTATAGCGAATGGGTTTAAAAGAAAGTTAACGCGAAAGGCTGCTAAGTATAAATTTTTTATTTTTATGTCTAGTTTTAAACGAGTTTTTGATTTTATTAAATTAATTTACTTTTTTGAATGAATGTTAATTTTGCATTCATTTTATGTTTTATCCTAAACGAAATTCTTTTAGATCTTAAAACGCAAAAATGAACTCAAAACCTCTAAACAATTTTGAGTTAAAATCTTTTAATTACTTTCCAACAAATGAATTTTTTACAAAGAAACTGTTCCCGATTCAATTTATCTAAGCAAAGCAGGTACTTTGTTAAGCCATTGCTCGTACTATTATAACAATGAACTAAAGGAATTTCTTAAACGAGATCATTTAAATGTTATACATATGTATTATGTATACTAAATTCTTTTCTATACTTTTTATGTTAAAATGTACATATTAACATAAGAAGTTTAGAAAAGAATTTTGAAAATTTTAGAATTGATATTGATGAAAGTTTAAATATTTTTAACATTATATGTGTAACTGAAACTTGGTGTAGTTCAAAGGGATATTTATTTAACAAAATAATTTCTAGAAACGAATCGCTAATAAACTTAAACAACGAACAGTCCCTGAAAACAATGTTAAAATCTACAATAATCAAGTTAAACAACTACAAGGAGTTTTTTTAAAC